CTCGTATCTGATGTGATGTGACGGGATGTGTCTGTGTCTGCGGGAAGATACAAGATGGATCTTCGGGGGGATCTTGAAGCATCCATTCGTCCAATCAGACGGAAACATAAAACAGACTAAAGATGGACCAGTACATAACAGGAGATATAGAGACGTATCAAGAATAGTAAAAAGCCAAACACCTTACAGAATAAACGAGAAGAAAAAAACCAAAATCACAAACAGCCCCCAAACATTGACTCCACTAGCCAAAAAAACTTTCCTCCACTTTGATACCAAAGTTTTGCGAAAAAACCATTCCATATGATGGATCTCCATGAGACTTTCGTGTTCCAAAAGCTTCGAGATCTCCTATCGAACGTTTTGGGAAACTGGAATTCCCTCCATAATTCCCAACTTTCCTCCAGCGACTGCGCACCTCAATCTTTTGCTTCTGTCCATGTTTGGACTAGCTACCACCATGCCAGTTGCAGGTGAGGCGAATCCAGATAGAGAGCTAAATTTCGGGGTAACACTAGTATGTCCCTCAGAAGCAGCGGAGGAGACCAGTGAGCTTGCCACATAACTGCGCTTCCGGCTTGTTGGTGTAGTACTGCCAGTAGAACAAGGCGAGGAACCTTCCTTTAGCATGTTCAAGCTCAGAGCCGCGTCACGAGAGCTTGGAGAAGCACATGGCGTAAAGTGTCTATATTCATTCAATCGAGGGCTGCCAGTTTTAAATTCACTGTTCTGCCTCTTGGAACCAAACATAGGTGACTTGCGAGATGAAAGAGGACAAATTGAAGTTGATCTCAAGAACTGTCCATTGGGAGATCCCGGAGCTGGTGATGAAGCCTTAATCATGTGCGAGAGAGAAGATCTCCGGCGTGGAGATGGACATGCACCCACAATGGGTGGTGCCCCAGGTCCTCTCCGGGCGATAAATGACCAATTCTCCTGAGAACCAGATATCATGTTACTATGTGCAACATTGGCAACAGATGCCATAGCAGCCATAGCTCCACCGGCCGCAGCAGCAGGTATCGGCGGCGCCATTCCATTTCCAGAAACAAGACCCGCTGCAGGGGTATCGAGACTAGAGGATTGCGCCAACGACGATGACCGATGTGACTGAGGTGGAAGAATTGTCAGAGCAGTTTTTGGAAGCGGCTGGCGGAGAGCGTTGAATGTATCACAGCTCTTGAGCGAACGCTCAAAAGTCCGAGGAAGGGAAGAAGAAGAAGGGGCCAGGGGAGCTACCGGTTGAACTGATGACTGCGGTGCTGCCATTGCCCTATCAAAAGATTCCATAGCAACTTCATCCCCCGAGCAATGCTTTAGTCCTCCAGAAGGAGACTCGACTTCAGTCAAGTCCGGGGTAAGTGTTAAAATTAATCCACACCATTCCTTTTTTCTTTCCTCTTCATCAACCCATGGGGATGCATTCAAAAGAGACATCGATGTCGGTGTATGGTCTGACGTATACTTTAGTACAAGATCCGTCCATTTTTGGAAAACCGTTTCAGATATATGAAGTTTCCAATTGACTGCATCCAAAAAGGCCATTTCGTTGATGTTTATCTCTAGCGTATTCAATCCAGATATTTTACTCCATGCACGGGCCGAGTAATTCCGATCTTGAAGATATTTCGATGCTAGAATCAAGGCAGCCAGGAACATTCTTCTTCCACATTGCTTTGCGCGTATCAACTGTGCCTCGTCGAGGGGCATACTATTGATATCGCAGTCGCGTGGAGGAAGATGAGGCCGGATAACAATGAGATAATATAATGCAACCTGTAAAGTTGAATAACTAGTCCTAGACCTCCGAAGCGTCTCTTGTATAAAGGTCCGCAACGGCAATACTTTGTCTTTTGGAGCAGTCGCGCAAGCTCCAAGTCTTGGAGGCGGCCATATTGTCTCAACTATCTGGGCAGCAGAGTCTTGAAAAATGCCGTTAATCTAACTTAGCTTCTGCATTTATCTGTTTAATGAAATTTTTTGTTGACCCAGATTTTGTACGTACCAACAAGATTATCGACAAAATTAACCTTTCGATCAGCTTGGCGCTGGAGACTCGGAACAGGTGGAAGAGGACATGTACCATCCACGGGACACCCCGTTGCATTCACGCTCTCTACTAGGCGATTGGTCCTGCGTGGGTTTTGCCTCTGTTCAATTGGTACAATCTCTGCAGGAGTGGGAACCGGGGGCGGGTGGGGATGACGCTGTGAACCATCACTTGTCTTGATACTTGTTTGGTTCCGGGCGACAGGATGAGAACTCTTGGGCCAAGTACTTCGTGTAGGAAGAGGTGTAATGATAGCAGTGTTTGGTGCAGTAAGTCCATCCGTGGTAGTGCTAGATGCGATAGATGTGGCATTCGAGGAAGCGGTTGCCACAGACCAAACGGACGAATTAGATGAAGAGGCGGTGGATGCGATAGACGCTGCCGGTGAGTATGGATAATGAGGGTGTTTCGTAAAGGTAGTAGTGGGTGGGGTGGGGTCCAGGGTCATATTGTTGGATAGAAACACAAAAATTGAGAGGAGATGTTGCAGGGAAGAAACAAATAAAACTAAAGAAAAGCCGAGATAAATATCAGAATCCTTATTCCGTCTTCAAGGTCAGATTGTGAGTAACAATCTTGGGACAATCTCAGGAAAGTAGGTCGATCTCAGTTGTGTGAATGAGTGGAAGGGTGATGTGTTTTGTGACTTAGATGGCGAAGCAAATGACTAGTAAATGGCTGAGCAGATGGCGGAGTTGAGTTGTGAACCTCAAATAGATCTAGGGTGGCGTAGGGCTGAGTGGCGATCAGAGAATCTTTCTCATAAGAACGTGGCTATTGATGACTCTAGGTGGCGGTGTCGCTTGTCGTGTACTGTCCAGCGGAGAAATTCCAAAGCCTTTTTTTTCCCTTTCCTTTTCCGTTTGTTGATATGATGCCCAGTTGTTGTTAAATACCAGATGTTCCTTCCACGTTTTGCCAAGCAAATTTTGAAATATGACTGTATTCGAGATCGAACACTGTCAAGTTGGCCTCTGACTGTCGAAAGTATGAAATATGCTGAAAAGATTCACCCGCAAGGTTCGAAGAGAAATTGCGATCCCAACCCAGAAAATAGAAAATCCGTTACCTCCTTCAGATAGAAACTCCAGTAGGAAAAAAGAAATAAAAAAATTCAAAATTTTCGGCAAAATTTCCCAACCCGCCGTCTGTACAACCAAAGGCGATTCCTCAAAATGTATTCGATTAGGCGAAGATGTATTTATTCAGAAAGATATATAAAAAAAAAACTGTTGATGGTAGCTAGAAGTTATGACAATGCAATAGCATCGATAGCAATAGAATATGTAGTAGTAGCGGTGGCGAGGTAGAGTGGTGAGGTGGTGGCTGGAGATCCTTCGGCGATGCTAGTATTACCCACAGGACACATTGTGATACTTCCCAGAACTAGGGAAGGAAGTTTTCGACGGTGATGGTGGTAATGTGTGTTTTTGTAAATGGTGAAGGTTGAAGTTGTGAGACAGGTAAAATGAGAGCCTCGTCACGAATCGCGAAGTGAGTCTTGACTAAGTGACGGAGAGATCAGGGGGGGGGGGGAGTATATGGGGGGAGGCGTTGGTTGGGAAAGACCGGCTGGGTTGGCTGTACTGATTGTGGCACAGGCTAACTCAGCTAATAGGTAATGTGGGCCCTAGTTCAGGGACGACAAACGCGCTACTGACTGGACTTCTGCTTTGAGAGCCTGAGGTACGGTATGATGATGGTGGTTCTGATGATGATAATGCGGCGGCAAATGAAGAGGACGGTGACTTGGACGATTGGATGCAGGTCCCAGCTGAGTGTAGCAGGTTGATGCGGCGGCTGAGGTAGGGGAATTATATAAAACACCAGCGGAACAATGAAGAGGGAGTGAGTAAGTGTATGGAAGAGTGAGTAACCAAAGGCAGCGAGGGAATGAGCAACAGCGACTGTGAGCGCGCCGAGTGATCTGGAGGGGAAGGGAGGGGTGTGTGAGTGTGAGTGTGTGTGGAGGGGGGCTGGTGGCAAAATTAAAAGTGCCCGATGACAGATTTTATCGGGGCAGGGGGAGGAGGTATGAGTCCGAATGTATGTTGTCTCGGACGTCGGCGAAGAAAACTGACTTCTTCTTCTTCTCCTTCCTGCTTATTTCTCCCTCCGTTTCTTTAAGGCGCCCGGTGAAATGCTGGAAACAATAAAGTGGGGAGATTAAGGACAATGTGGGGAGAGCGAGCAGCTGGACGAAATGGTATTCAGACTGAATGGAGAGTGGAGTGACAGAATCGGAACCGTATCTATTCTTTCGGGAGATCTGTAAAGCTGTTCATTATTGCGTGATGACTGACTGACGAGAAAGATCAAAAGGTATCTTTCGCGGGAGGGGGGAAGCTTTTAGTTTTGTTCAGAGCCAGGCGGAGGCGGGGATTGATCGATGAGTAACCCTTCACTCGTCTCGTTCCTAAAAAGTCTACCGATGATGAATAGGCTCTCCACACACACCACACTTCACCCAAACTCTCCCTCTCTTTCTATCCTCTATACTGCATCTTTGTGTACTTCTTACACCCTTCCCACACTACCGCTTTATCTCGTATATCACCAGGCAGCCCAGCACAGGCAGAAATTGGGTTAGATGGTTCTCTATAGAGAAACCCGAATGGATTTTATAAATGTTGTAACAAAAATCCTTTCCCTCTCCTTGGGAATGTTCTATCACATAGGTTATCTCGCATTCCTGTACCGAGAGCTGAGAGGTAAGAAACCATCTTGGTATTCTAACTGTGAGCTCATATCGTGCTGCATATTTGCCATTTGCTGCCTGGTCTGGTTGAACTTTGCCGGTCGGTAGGTATGTAGGTCTTGGGGCTGGCAGCACAGAGTGGTCGTTCCAGTACCCTTGCCAAATCAGCGATCCGTAACACACACAGCAATGCATAAGATATGGAACCAATCGTTTCCCTGCACTTTCCACTGATGACTCTTTCTTCCCACGATGGAAAAGGCTGTTTTCTGGCCTCTCTTCCTTGGTCGGAAAGTGTGAAAATGGGCTGTGTCTGGCGCTGTGGGTTGCGTCAATCCAGTGCTCCCGCCCATCTAGCCGTTTTCGGGTGCTAGGCCCCGAGCCTCTCTCTCGCTGTCTCCCTGTCTCTTGCCTATCTTGACATTGTTTACGTGCAACAATATAAATAAAAACATAAAGTCCCTGATCCCTTTCGAAATCTAAATCTAACTCCTTGGATACCGTGCAAGACCTGGGAGAGGAGGTCTCAAAAAGGAGCCTCAAACGAGTCACTGATTCCTCGTTTTAGCACTTTGAAGATTCGTTAAGGAACCCAGCTGCGGCGCCGCCGGTGCAGGACACGTTCGGTGGTTGTTCCTGTGAAACGTATTACTGACCGCTACCACCCAATCATAATCTAGACTGACTAACCGAAACTTATCTAGACCCAAACACGTCGATGACTCTGGCTGCCCAATAAGGCGCAATTTAAGTGCGTTGACTCATTTATTGGTCCAATGAGAGCTAAAAACTAACGTCATTGTACTGCGCTGACAGCCACATCTGTGGCTTCGAAGGGTCATCCACTCCCTCGGATAAACCGTATTTTAATAAAGGCTTGGACCCTTAAGCTAGGCGGCTTAGCTAGAAACATCTACTTTTGAGTGTAAACATCAACACGCCTGGCGTTTCTCAGATACTTACTCACCCATTAATTAAGTCCTGAGAATTCTTGGTAGCAACGACCTCACAAAATTTCTCAGGACTTAATTAACGCGCGAGTAATACAGCCGAAAAAGATCGCAAGAGGTACATATCATGTACATTCGCAATAACGAGAGTTAAGAACTCGATTGGTAGCCAATGTTCTGCGAAATTCGCGTCGCTCACATCGCCGGCCGACAGGATGTGAAGTTGCCTAATATAATATCGATGAACGATTGACCTAGCGAGTCATAGCTTGTCACAATCAACCCAGAGACAATATATTTCCGTCCAAGCAATTGTTTTGTTTCGCCACAATCTCCACTGGCAAATTTCTCATCTTTTCCTACAATGGCAGCAAAAGCGTCTACTGAGGAGAAATAAGACAGAATACAGAATTGGACTTTCCTCGTTCAGCAAGTTAATGTCATTTTCAGCTCAGGGTTGGGCAGGAGTACATACATACATACTTCTCCTTGGTTACACCTGGATGGACACGCGGTCATGTCTAGCAGGTTGCTGGTATCTTCAAAAAAATCAATATTGCGTGACTGTGCCCGTAACCAGCCTAATATCATCTATACTTACCAACTGTGTTGGATAGAAATATATACATTAACATCTGAGAGTACCCAGGGTCGTATTCCAGTACATACTAGGGTTCCGTTTCTAGATCCTATCGCCACTATATATCGTGTTGTAAATAATTGTTTACCACAGTTATATCTTTGGTTCTTGTCACGAACGATGTGGTGCGGGCCCGGCGGTGACCCTCAAAGCTAATTACCTATGTACTGGCTTTCCGTGGCGTCCCTTCTCGTCCTGCAACGAACTTCCCCGCTGCACGTGGACGACATGTTGTAAGGTGCGCACGAAGCAAGGCGAAGCAAGAGGAATTAGCAGAAAACACCATGCAATCTTTGCATCTCCAAATGATCTTATATCCTCCGGGGTGACTATTCCGCGGGCAAGAGCTTCAGCAAAAGATTGCGCCTTGCTGTAGAGTAACGTACTCCGCATGACTGCCCTAGATGTGTATGTACATACTTAGCTACATGGTACCCTAATGCCTGATGAGCGGGCAGCATGTAAGGGCATATTGCTGCCCATCTGAACCTAAATTTGTATCATCAAGTGGTTTTGATTTGTTTTTGCTTTGAATTTCTCCGGTTTGTTCGGTTAATGACATATACATGTAATTGATGGTAGTGGCGCGAATGGGAGATCCAAAAGGCTGCTCACTTGAACCTCACCATGAGCAACTATTTGATTCCAGATTCCAATACGCTATTCCCGAGATCGCCATGATCATGTAGCACATATAATAGGTAACAGTCGGGAGGCAGCTTATAAGGCTCAGATTGCTGATAATTATGACAGACGAAACGAGGCTTCCTCGGTGGTATATCATAATTCGAAGCTGTGGATGGAACATCATCTCAACTGGCAGTGATGCCTGGTGTATCAGTAGAGTACATGGCCAGTGCAGTTCGAGCCGCAATTTTGCTTTTTTAGTTCTCAGCCCCCATCTTTACATGCTTCCATCTTTGAACTTGCGCATGTCAACCCCTGCCGCCCTACCCTGCACGTACTCACCATAGGTGGCTACATAAGTATGTAGTTATCTCCCCGTGACTCTCCGTATCGATACGGTGAGGTGAGCATGGATACCTAGCACCAACACCAACTGAACTATGCGTCACAAATTAACCTCATTTCTCTCGTTCCTCTGGATCTCTCTCTCCTTCCTCTCCTCAGCCGCATCTTCGGCGAAAAGATAAACATTCACTTCGTGTCAGCAAATAGGGCATATAGACTAATCAGATTGAATGACTATCAACTCTACTCCCGCTAGGTAAGACTCCCGCTAGGTAAGGAATCTGCATAGGTGCCTTTGCTTTTGTTGATGGTCGTATTCGGGATACAGAGCCGGATGTGTGAATATAAGTGGGCAAGGGGAGTGAAAAAAAAAAAGAGAGTCACAATCACGTCAGTCGAGAAGGCTACTCTAATTCTATCAAGAGGAGCTTCTGAGCTTAAACTAATATTACTATGTTGATATTTTTAGTGCTGATAGGTCCAAAAGCATCGTGAGATTCTCAAGGCTAGGGTTTCTAGCTTTTTTTTCCCCTGGATTCCCCTCTCTATCTCGTCTCGTGAGGGCCTCATGGGAGAAGGATTGCTTCTTGTCCCCTAATCTCGCTGTTTTTGTACTGCACGAGTAGATCTCGTGCAGTGTCTACTCTGCTCCACATACTGGTCTACGAGCACAAAGACTGGCTCTGGATTCTCATTTCTCACCGCAAATGGCTCCATGTATGTACTTCTAGAGTACGTTAGTTTACCCCGCTCATCTGATGTACCCGAGTGTCCAAGGGTTGCTTGCATTAATTCAACCTACTCCATAGTAGGAAACGAAACGGCCAACCTGCATAGTCTTGGATTGGGCAAAATCACAGGCCTGGGCTCCTGTTTTAGTAAGGGAGTGCGGGTTTTACCGGCTCCTTGCACTTCCGATATTGTACTACGTGTGGGTCTATGCCTAGAGGTACTGTACTATCTTTTCTTCATATTTGTGAAATGGAGGGTTGGTGTGGGTTGGTTTAAAGTATCATGGTTTGTACACTGAGCTTGATCCAGGGTTGAGAATTCAAACGAACTTTTGCCTGACGGAAGTATCGAAAGCTGGGCCCAGGATGAACACTGAGTGCTGTGCATGTACGTGCGCTTATGCTAATCGAAAATTACAAGCAGACAGAAGGTAGATAATTACATAAACTGCGGGGTGGCTGGTTAGAAGAGTAAGCATTTGAAACCCAGAAATTTCAGGGATTAGGGCCGATCAGATAATTTTCTGTCGATTTTATCATTGGAGCCTTTTTTTTTTTTTTTTTGGTTTTTGGGTGTTTTGAAATACAAAGTTACCCTGATTACAGGTAGCGGTTAGATGGGAGTACTGGTACGGTGTGGGGTGCCTGAGTACTAGCTATCGGATTTCATATCTAACGATTTCATGGATCCAACCTCCGGCCTTAAAGGTTGGATCTGCAACTGCAGCGTATATCACGACTGCCCGCCTTACGGCTTTAAGGCCACCAATGATCAATTGATATCAACGAAGCAAAGCAAAAAGTGCATCGCTGTACACAGAAATAATTGTCTTTGTAAATTCAATAGACGAAGAGGTACGTAGGCCTTGCGACTTATGATTACTGCGCGACGCACACGGGTTGTTGTCCGAGTTGTAGAGATTTCATCGCTGACGAGTTTTTGTTGCAAGGCCGGCCGTATTCTGCAACACAGCCTCAGTGGTTACATGCCCAAAAACCTCGCGATACGAAACCATCGATTTTGAGAGGCTATAATCACAGTCAAAAAGGAACAAGGAAAAGTTTGGCCGTTGGTTGTCGGGCGGAGAGTGCACACTTGGCAGCAGCGAATATGATAGTAGCGGCTACCAAGCCGAGTGATTTTAAATGATCGACAGTGGAGGTTCAGTGGTCAGCAATTGTTATACATTCTGCGCTGGAAAGGGGGCAGAAGTCTCTTCAAGTGGGGCTCCTAAAGCTATCATATCTTTGTAGCGAGGAGAAAAACGGCCGCGTAAGCTACGCCACCCTGGCCATTTATCCGAAACGAGATGGTACTGACGATACGCGTCCGTCGGAGATATCTATTTTCAAAGGCTATGTCAGCTATTGATTACAGCGAGAGGTAGAATTATTGTAGAAACAGGGGTCTAAAAACAGGGTTTCTATGGCTGGACAAGCCAATAGAACTCCTCCCATACTTCTACAATAATCTTACCGCAAGCTGTAAGGGGAGAAACTCTGTGAAGGCTCCTCGTCAGTCGTTGTGGACTGAGCGTGAGTGTGGACCGAGGACAGCAAGGGGGTCATGAGTGGTCACTCGAATCTTCTAGCATATGTTAGTACTGTCGAGCACGTGCGATACTCCTCGGCTTGAATGCTTCTAGAAAGAGCTATAGTTAATTGCCCTTAATTACCGGGATATCAACAACGGAACACGCAGATTGTAGACTGGATAGGATCGTATGGCTATTGAAAATATCGAAAATGGTCCCAAGGCTGGTTCATCGGCTCCTGAAATTGTGGTTGTGATATCTCTATAGAGAACTCGTTTGTTTTTTGCTCAGTACGTATTTGACCCTGGCCGCGCTGGTGTTATCAGATCGTCGGCTATGACATTGTAGGGGTATTAGTCATTATTTGGCTACGGATGTTCGTTTTGGGCGTTCCAACAAGATCCGATGGTATGCAATTATTTGCTTATATAAGAATTTGCAAGCCTTTAACTATAAATGGATTCCAGAAGCACTAGTAATAATACTCGTCTTAAGAAGGCCGTACCTCAGGCACCGCAAAATGCAAGGGCGCATTTAGTTCCGCACCCTACGACGTCATTCATACTCGGGACCAAACTCTGCGCCAACTTCAAACAGAAACTACAGTTTCCGGTAGAATTATTGCGAAAGTGTGTTTTCCGTGACCCGATAGTCCCATTGGCCCTTAAAGAAGTTTTTGCAGCGAGCACGGGCCAAGAAACCCACTCATTTAGCTCTGAATTTCGCAATAATTCTACCGGAAACTGTATAATGATAGGTGCAATACTGCATGCATCCAAATCAATCAAATCAAATCAGGTCAACATCAACCTACTTTGTGTAGAGTGAGTAATAATGAGGGGAGGGGTGTGCACATATAGTTTTGCCTGCATTACATGGTCAACTCTGTGGTTAACCGCAAGTCTAAAAGTCTATGTAGAGCTAGAATTTAGGTTGGCATGATAAGAAGGTTCGATCACTCCGGGTATCACGCAATAGTGCGGGGGGAGAGGGGAGGATTGATCCGGTAAATAGCGGCAACAGACCGCAAATCTAACTCTAGGGCTTTTGAACATGATATACTAACATCGTTGGCAGCAATCATACACATTCCTCCCGATATATCTACATACATGTACCCCAACTCGGCGTACAGTACATGAAGGGGGGTGGTACCATGTGCATGTATCCGCACTATTACATGCGACCTATAAGTACGGCGCTGGCCACCGTCATCAACATCACAGGTGTAGTACTTGCAATTTATGGTATACCACTGGCGTTGAGTGTCAATGACAATTATCGGAGAGAGGGGTGGGTGGCAGCGTCTCGTGCCCAGGTTCATATCGGACGCTAACTCCACGGTGAAGGGTTCACGATGTTTAGTGTTTTTCTTTGTTTCGAGGGTGTTTCACCCAGCATAGAAAAAAAATCACAACAAACTCCTTCTCTCCTCCAGGGCCCTCATTAATATTCTCTAGCTCTCCCCATAAAGGATTCCCGCCACCCCCACCCAACCACGCAACACCTTATTCTAGATAGAAGAGGAGGAAGAAGACAGGGCCGCTAGTGTACGAGTGACTCACTCATCCACTCGCCCTCTCACACGCATACACTCTCTCTTTCACCGTAACATACATTGGGGATGTAGGAGGGGGGTTTATAGTTTAGTACCTTCAGGCCACACAAGAACCTTGTTTTACCCAGCGAGTGACTCACACCCCACCACACCCCACCCCCAGTCTCAGACATGATCCACGGCCAGAGATTAACCTGACCCGGGACAGCAACAGAAACAGTAGCGTACCATCGCTACATCCCGGCGTGTCACTGCGCGTGTACATGCTATGGTATGCTTTGTTGGGCGGGGGGAGTCATCGATCATGTATATCTCTGCTGGCAATCAATAGATGAGATTAGAACCACAGTGTAGCTACATATAGCTAGAGGGTGGTTGGGGCAGAGAGTAAAATCCTGTAGTGGCCGTGGCACAGAAAACTAATTCATTCTTTTCACTTCTTTCCTCTCTGACTCCTTCGGCATGTTCCGTGTGTGGAATGTGATTTGACGTGATGCGGGGAGGGCTGCCTGTCTGCGCATCGAGTGATAGCCTGTGAAGATGGTCACGGGGGGGTTTGTAGAAGTGCGTGAGTGAGTGAGTGAGTGTGGTGTTGCCGGGTTGGATGGCGGTGGTGTGGTTGGTGGTTGGTTGCAATTGGTAATTGGTGGTTAGGTGGTTGGCGCGGAAGGGCACTTTTCACCCGTGGGTGGGGAACACTTGCTCGGGTCGCACGCCGAGTTCTTCGGCTCAAGCGTTCGGGTCGGGCGGTGGATCGGAGTTTGCGAAGTGAGTGAGTGAGTGAGATCCGATCCGATTTGGTCGGCTGGGTCGGCTTCGATTCGGCCGGGAAGCCTTGGTTTTTTTTGGGTTTTTTTTTTTTTGTGCACGTTGCTGAGGTTGACTATGTGCCAGCCCTATTGCTATTACTGCGTTATGGCGTAGAGGAGGGAGGGAGGGCAGGGCTAGAAATAGAAATTAATAGAAATAGAGAATAGAAATAGAAATAGAAATAGACATGGACATGGAAACAGAAATAATAGAAGTTACGTAGAACAATCATTTCCACCCCCCCCCCCCCCCCCCAAAGCTCAGCTCTCTCTGTCAATGATCTGAAGAGCTACAAAAGCCAGACAGAGGCAGGGCCAATCAGTGCTGCTGGACTGACATCTCCGCAAAAAAAAAAAAAAAAAAAAAAAAAAAAAAGATATCAAAAAAAAAGATACAGAATTATAGAAAAACTACCCCACACGATAATCCCTCCCCCCGCGCAGGCCCGAAATCTTTGCCTCGATCTCAACCTTCCGCCTCTCGAGGCCCTGGCGGTACAGCTTCAACCTATCCTCTCTCTCTCTCGCCCCGCAATCAGCCCTACCCATCCCATGGATCCCGTCCTATATATCCATCCTATCCATCCTCTCCAATTGGCCGGCCCTACACAAATACTCGGGGGACCATGCAAGACCTACGTACCTCTCGATGCGCGAATCCAAGCTCTCCTCCACCACCGCGCGCTTCTCGGTGTCCGTCTTGAGCTGCGCGCCCGTGAGCGCGCCCACAGCGGTGATTGCGGCTGTCGCGCACGTGAGGATTATGGTCCGGCGCTTGAGCAGTGGGGTGGCCATCGTTTGGTTGTTTGGTCGGGGGGGTGCGGTGCGGTGCGGTGCGGTAGGGCAGCTTGGTGGGGGGTGGAGGGGTGCGCAGCGAAGGGCCGGTGGGTGGATGGGTGGGTGGGTAGGGTAAGTATGGGACTGGGGGGGGGGGGATAACGTAATCGAGAGCGGGCCGCCCGGTGGGTCGCTGTGTGAGTCGCGGTGTGAGCTGTGCGGGATGCAGCAGGGGGCGGGTGAGGGCGAGGGTTAGTGATCTTCTGTCTGGTTTCTTCTTCTTCAACTATGACTGTGAGTGTGAGTGCTAAACGTGTTGTTTCGGAACCCCGGGCCTAAGGTGTTCGATTCCATGGCGTACATGTAGAAACAGCATCCATCCATCCATCCATCCATCCATCCATCCATCCATCGCCCGCAGGCTGGGCTGGCCGGCTGGGGTTCGACGTTGTGTGATCCGTTCGGTAAGGCATGCGCAGTAATATTCTCGCTACCTACACACCTACTGTAAATTTACCGAAACATCTGAAACCACGCCTACAGCCCGGCCATCACTGACTGCAGCGTGAGGCGAACTGCTCTGCTCTCCCCTCGTACTCCACCTCGAGACTAACTACCAGGCAGTGTGGAGCAAGGAAAGGAAAACGGGGATTTCTTTTTTTTTCTTTCAATTTTGTGATAGGTCGCGCGCTTGGCTCTCGTTAATTCTGCTCGTGATATAGGTGATCTGCGAGCTGTTAGCAGAACAAAAAAAGAATGTGTGTGGAAAGTGGGGGGGATTTATTTGAGCAGCAGGCAGCACATGTAATACTTGTTTATTTATACAGATAGACACTAGAAAAGAAAGAAAAAAAGAGGGTCACGTCAGTACCACGCCTTCATTGGCTCTTATTTGTTTATTATTATCTCGAGATATGGTGGTGGTGGTGGGTACGTGCGGCGCACATGTCTTTACGTTCGCTTTCTGGGGTAACGGGATGGATTGCTATGACCGAATCTTTGGTTCTGGTTTTTGGCTGTTTGTGTGGTGGGATGCCTGGGATGGCGGTGGTCATGAGTTAACAGCAGTAATGGTGGTAACGGAGGTTTCAGTTAGAAACTGTCGAGTGATAATCCATGATGTCGTGGTCTTCCTCATGGGCGATCACTCATGAGCGATCACTCGCAAAACATGGCCCATCACCCGAGATTAATTTCCTCAGACCAACAAAAAATAGAATCGTTAAATACATCCGAGGCTTCCCTCCCAGCTGCAGCTCAGCTCCTTAGACTACATATTACCAAAAAATATTTCCGAAAAGAAATAGTATAGTCTGGAGAAAAAAACAAGACATGCAGCCATTTCCCAAGCGAAGCGATAATAAATACATATAAAAAGGTAAAAAAAAACCAAGCACCAAAAGATTAATAGTTAAGCTGTGCTCGTGTATGCTCTCGGCTCAGAAAAGGAAAAAGGAAAAGACACCATTACATGTAGTTGTGTACCTTAAAACAAAAATAAAAGCGAAAAAAAAAAAAAAAAAAAAAAAAGAAAAGAAGAAAAAAAAGCCTTTTATTTGAAAATAAGCTTCGGATATCACCCAACGCGAATCACAACATCAACACCCAACGCCTTGGCTTCTCTAATGCAACAACTAAGGCAAGTCCTCCCTCTACCGCCAATGATAGCATTAACTCCTCTTTCCGAGCACCAAGCCCTTGCAAGGACCCCTCGATCGTTCCCTTCTCCGCCCGCCTCGATAACAAGAATATGGCTCCTGTCTCTCGTTTCATCATCACCCTCTCGTACGAGTGATTCGATAGAAAGCATGGAGTACTCGAATTCCTTGTGCAATGGATGTGCCCTCTTTATCGCATGTTCCCCAGAGTCCTCCTTCCTCATTCCCTTGAAGCTCGACGGCGGATCAAGACAAGGGAATGAAGTGATGAAAAAGACCTCATGCTTTAGCCTTACCGCAAGCTCTTCCGCCTCGCCAAGCTGGAAATGCACCTCGGTACCGTACTTGATGGCAATATCCACGTCAACGTCCAAGTCGTCCTCCCGAGGTGGCTCTACAAGAACAAGTCTCTCCAATAAAACCTTCTCTCCAGGAATGACGTCATCAAGCGGCATAGACAAATCGCTAGACAGAATGCTTTTTGATTCCCTATACTTTGTTCCAAGAGGATTTGATTCCTCCTTCACCCGGCGCGGTTTCAAAACTCTAGCTTCTCCCTCATCCTCTGGCAGGAGCGAACAGATGTTTAGCCACCCGTTTGTGATAGATTTATAAACCAGTCCATTCTCGGTAGGCACTTTAGCATCCACGCACGGTCCAATCCATCCGCCCACTTCCTTGGATCCACCGTGACCCGCCAATACTCTCCCGATAATGCAGTTGCTGCTCCACCAGGTCGAGCCTTCATACTGGAATCCGGCATAGAGTATTGAGTTGTCGCCTAAGCTTTCCACAGCACCAGCGTCGTTCTCTAGTAGTGTAGAAATCAGGAAATGCGGCAATCCTTCACCGGGTAGTATCAACCCCGAAAAGAATGTTCTCGAAAGCCAACCACCAGATCCCATCGTCTTTGCCAGTACCGAGTTCCTTACTGAACTGCTACTGGTCATAACGGATGGAGTAGCAGAGGTTGATGCCAATTCCTGTATTCTTTTTGGGCGCCCGAATGCCTGGAAATAGCTGTTTGCGTTCGCAGACATCATTGAAAGCGGTGTTGCTAGAGGAGTTCCGCTGATAGACTGTGATGGGGTTGAGAAAGTCGAAGCGGAGCGAATTTTCTCCTGGAGCTGTAAAGATAAAGTATCAATCTGAGGCCATTGGAGTGATCTGGCAAAGTACATCAAGGCGGAGAATTGTCTGTTTAGGTTCCGGGGATATATCAAGGCTTCATAAGACTTGACGCCATTCTCATCCTCATCGTCGTTCACTTCTGGTGGTGGTGAAGGAGGGGTGGCTCTTGAGGAGAACCAACCCCTTCTCTCAGATGCTGGAGGTGCTAGGCTGGCGGGGTCCTTCTCTGCTGCGGATTCATCGTCTATTATCTGTACATTATCCAGCCACCTCCGTGCCAGAAGTATATCCCACTCGACCTTCTTCGTTCCAATCCTCTTGAACCTTTTACACATATCTTCCTTTGATTCCACAGATTGATTTTCTGGGGTTTCAACGATATCATCACTGAACAGAACATCCAGTCTGACTGCCAATTCGCACGAGAGGAGA